CTGATGTGAGATCCTGATCTGGTATCTAATACCCAAGATATAGGATTTATAAAAAAATAATTTTGAGTAACAAACACATCTGAAGATGAAGCAACATCTTGCTTCTTCTTAATGAGTGAGGCTAAGAATTCTGGATAGATACTCTTAACATTTTTTAACCAGTCTATGTAATTAGGGTCAGTTAACTTGTTCTGTTCTGATATGATTTTTAAGCCAGACATAATGATCTGAAAAAGAGGAAAAATTTTTTAGCAGATATTCAATACATAAAATAGATTTGGATCATTTTCATCTAAGTTCTGCCTCCCATTATTTTTCGAGTCCCTCAAAACCTTATAAGAGGTGATCGGAAAACAACCAATTGTTTTCAAGTGGGATCAAGATCCAATTATCATTGAATGCATCAACATTAACGTATGCTAACAAATTGATACACTCAATAATTGGTAGATAACTTTTGTTTTTTACATTCTTATAAGTCTTGATATGATTTTACCCCTAATCTTTTATGACCTTATCGTATGCCAATAAATCATAAAATACTAGTCATGTTTGGACCCATCAGTTCTTGACTGACTTAAATTTAACTTATACAAACTCTTAACGTATGCCAACTAAGTCGCATAACCAACTTAAGCTATCATTATATCTAATATACAGATGAATACTATTTAGCCATAGAATAGTTATGCCTTGACGTATGTCAACAAAAAACATAGTATTTATAAGCTTAATAGTATTCAACTAAAATGATGGAGGGCTACGGATGATTTTATAAATCTTTTATCGTAATCAAACTTGATATAGTTAAAAGCTGCTTTATATTTATACTTACAATAATTAAACTAGCCAGGTAAGCACAAGATTGGTGGGAGGGTTCCGAGTTATTCATCGGGAATATTCATCGGACCTCAAGTAAACATCGCTTTTTAAGATTATAGCGTGAAAGATTGGACATCACCCCTAACCTTAAGTTGGGCATCATCCCATGAGCTATATCTCATAATTACTTTCCTTGACACTAGTTAAAAGTTTATTCTAAATACATTTCTTTTAACTGTTTTAGGTTTATTTATCCTTCACACTAACACTATGTTAATGTTGGTCTCACTACTCTATGGTCAATAAACTCTTACTGTCATGTCTTATAAAGTTTAAAAATGAGTTTTTATAATAAAAATTATTCTCTAGTAGAGATATAAACTTTACAGAATATAACACCCAATTGTATTGACATCTACAATTAGGACACAACCAACATATCATCATATGTAAAAATAATATAGAATGGTAGTGGACAACTAAAGGAATAAAATATAACTACACTAATTACATTTTGACAAGCAATTTGTAACTCCTTGTAGCGCTAGCTCCCTTACAAATCCTGTATTATTACAATCACATATTCATAGGGCGTATAAGCCCCATTTATTATGAAAAAAATCATCTCGTAGGATGGGTAATAATATTGTATTGAATGTAAAATAAAAGCTATAAATAAAATAACTAAACTAAATAACCATACCCCCACATTCGAACAAGGGCCTATACCCGTAGGCGTAGCCCATAATCGGTGAGCAAGTGCCTAAACCCGTAGGCGTAGCCCATGCTCGGGGAGGGAAAAGATCGTAAATAATATTGTATTTCTAGCTATATTACATCAATACAATAAATGCAAGAGAATCGTTGTCCACTACAATCCATAAACATAACATCCATGGACCATGCAAGATGATATAAAATATATAACTTAATCAACATTAAGAAATATGCATACAATTACATAGGGATTATCCCAACTCAAATAGGACTATCATGCTTCTAACATACAATTACATTAGTTTTTTTTTTGTCTACAATTACATTAGTTGTAAACAAGTGTTTTGCAATTTATACAAGTGTTTTTACTCCTAAAAACTTATGAACCAAAAATCATAGTTGTAAACAAGTGTTTTGCAATTTATACAAGTGTTTTTACTCCTAAAAACTTATGAACCAAAAATCATATTTTTGAATATTTATACAAGTGTTTTTACTCCTAAAAACTTATGAACCAAAAATCATATTTTTGAATCAATGACTAGTGTAACTCATTACAAAGAACATACAACTACATTAGCTGTAATCAAGTGTTTTGCAATTTATGCAAGTGTTTTTACTCCTAAAACTTATGAACCAAAAATCACATTTTTGAATCAACGACTAGTATAACTCATTACAAAACAAATTGAATAAATTAACTAGTTTCATTAAAACATCTTTTAATTAAACTAGTAATTACAAGCAAGTACAAAGTCCTCTATGAGTTAGATATACATGCAAAGATTCAATTAGATGGAACCATGGCTCTGATACCATGTTGAAAATTCGTGCTAAATACATGCAAAATACGTAACGGAAGACTATATGTATAATAATATTAAGCATATAGAGAGCATGAAAAACAAGCTAGAACCATCCTAATTTAATCTAACATGATCCCTATAAAAAAAAGAGAGCAACCAAGAGCTTTGAAGGCTTACTTTCGTAGCGTGATTCGATGGTAGATCGAACAACCCCTAGCTCTTTATCCTTGTTGTTGTAAACCTCCTTGTAGTGGATCTCCAAGTCTTCAAGTGAGCTTGATAAAATCAGAGTCTTCTTAAGACACAAGGTAAGATATCTATCACTGGGTATTTTAAAATCCTACTACTTCCTCTTACTTAAATATTGCTAGAGTTTAATAAGAGGATAGCTCTCTTTTATTCTCTTATGAAAAAAATCACTTAGCTAATTTTTCGTTAATCTTTCCATAAGAAAGAGAGCTCATATATATAGAGTGAGATATGTCATGACTCATCTCATGAGTCATGCCATGAGTCATCTAAATGTAATGATTCCTTTCATGAGTCATGCAATGACTCATCTCATGAGTCATGCAAAGAGTCATGAAGAATCAAAACTATGTGCTAAAATCATATGCCCAAACCATACCACCTTAATGGCTCATCTCATGACTCATTGATCAAGGTATAATGAAGTGTGTCTTTTATAAATAAAAATATCACATCAATACAGTGTTTCATAAATACGGTATTACGTAATTTTTTTAATCATTAACTAATAAGTCATCATATGATCAAAAAAAATCAATGAGTTGATCAAAAGTCAACTGTTGACCAAAAAGTTAATCAGTTGACTAAAAGTTAACTTTATGGAAAAAATACTAGAATTCATTTCTTAAGCACATAGCATTCTGATTTTACCGATACATATAACCGTTTATGTGTATCCGGTAAAAATCATATATGTGTATCAATCATACGCATTAACTCTATAAATTATATTTCATAGGATTCAAGTACGCACTTGGTGTGACTCTAGGGCCCAACTTAAGACTCGATAGTGGATCATATCCAAAAGTACAACAGATGTGCTAGCTACATATGAAGACTACCCGAGTATAAGTTATGATAAATATCTATAAGATGCTTACATAATTTTATCAGAATCACTCAATGATAATACCGTACAGTTCAATCTCTTCGTCAAACCATGTTAAACTATAGAGCCTAGGGTATGAAAAACTGTCAAACCCTAATAGCTCGATTAGTGTTTATTGATATTAAACTCATAACATTTAAGATCAAACTGACACTCAGTTTATCTTATTTAACTTGGCCAAGTATTTCCAGACTATAGTTATATTAAATAATCTTATGACATCAACCCCCTTATACTGGGAGAGACGAATCTCATCTTGGCATCTCAATATCTACTTATGTCTCGGGATGCATCCAACAAGAACCGTTATGCACAACTCAATGAGAACTGTGATTAAGTAAAAGTCTAAGTACACCTATATTGATATGTAAGATATTGCACTGATGCCTCAGGTCAAGAGACTACTTTGTACTATATCACTTTAGAACTTCTATTTGACTGTTAAGTATAATTACCAACTAGACGTTCTCAGTGAGTCGTTCAGTCAACTCATTCACTAATGAGTCACCTGTATACTATATCTTGATGTATCACATCAATTATCCAAGAGATGGATCATCATCCTACCCAAAAAGAAATAGAGTATACACTAGTCTTCCCAAAGTGATAAAGTCTCATTTCAACACTTCATCGACTAGGAACATTTTAGAATATACATTTGTGACAAATCAGATCTCTTCATTACGATCATATGCGAAATGTCTGATAGTCTAGTATCATTCTAAGGACTTTATCTATATTAACATATCAGATAAATACTGACCAAAATAGTATACATTTTGAACAACGATGTTATATTCATATAGGTCCTGTTACAATATACAATTATTGCCTACAGGGCACCTATATCTAACACTTTTATGGTCTTGAGATGACCGAAACTACTTCTACTGCTACGCTATTGCTTTCATAAAGAGTCAGTAGTGATCGAGCCTCTCCTATCTATGGTTACATACAACTAGCAGTAGATGAACCCATGAGTTCAGATAGACCGGTTGAATGTACTAGTGCGGCTTTGATTTTATGAAAAATTCACTATTATGCTTTTCCCAAAGAGGGCTTTAGTGTTCTACCTACTAAGAAAAATAAAAGTCAAAAAATGAATACAATTTGCATGTTTACGTACTAAATCTGGTCTCTCTTTATCTCATAGTTCTCTTAGTTTTCCCAGAAAAAAAAAAGTTTACCCACGTTTAACATTTATTGTTTCTCTCAACCTCTTCCTTCAGACTGTATATTGTTTGTAAAGTATCATGGGATGCAGCAACCTGCAAGCTGTGTTCTGCATTTGTTTTTAAGCTGTCTTGTATAATTTCATACAATATAATGCGCATGTTTGATTAATTGAGAGTGTGAGAGTCTTTGTTTATTTTGGAGTCGTAAACCCTGTATGTTACTAATGCTAAAGAGTGTCAGTTACAGAGGTTAACAATTTCTTTGTATCGATTTCTATGTTAGTTTTATGTTCCTCTTAGAAGTTTATAATTTATAATGTCAACTCCCATCTTACCTTGCAGGGTAGCAGATTGGGTATAACTACTGTGATATCTACTGATTCAATACGCCACATGATGAGAAGTTTTGTGGATGAAAGTGAGAATCCTCTCCTTTGGGCCTCAACATATAATGCTGGTGAATACTTAGATCCAGTGGCAGTTGCTGAAGCCAAGGCAAAAAGAAAAGCACGAAAACAAGCTGGTATTCCCCGGGCAAGGCTTAAGGAAGAGTCACTTGGTTGTGCTTCAAATGAAAAACTTGATGGTAGATCCATAGACGGGGGACCTGGTAACGAGTTTATTGGCAAGAAACAAATGGCTATTGAGGGGTTCAAGGCGCAGAGTGAAATGGTCATTGAAAGCCTTGACCGGTTGATAACTGCATGGGAAGACAGAAAAGAATCTGTTGTTGTTGAAGGTGTCCACTTAAGTCTCAACTTTGTGGTGGGTGTTTGTTCTGGAATAGTCTCTATTGTTTTCCTCTTACAATCTATTCTCTGCACGATATAGACCGAGGTGACCAGTAAATTTAGTAAAGCTACATTTTATTAACTGTTTATATCCGTTTGCAAGTCACAGCGGTGAACCTATATAAAGAAACCTTAGAAATAACTATTAAGTCCAAACAAGCCCTATTAAGTTTCATATTTCATTCTTCCAACTTGGAAAATTCAGGTTGCATTATAATATGTATCTTGTTTTCTGGAGATTCTTTATTACTTAATATCATAATTTCAATTTCGCTTAATGCTCTTTGGCTTGACAAATAGCTATCCAGTTGCATGTTAATGAGAACAGGGGCAATCTACTTCTGGTCCCAAGAATAATCCCAGTTCCTTATGATTCTCAGAAGTACTCACACTATCTTGCAGTACATAGTCTTTGTAACTTTAAATATAACCAGTATCTCCAAAAGTAGGTAGGCAATGGAGCGGATAAGCCAATGGGACAATTGGTTGAGGAGCCCTATCATGCTTTTCTTCAAGCCATCTCCTTCCATTATTGAAATCTCTGCATATTACATGAAGTTTTCATTGACCTATCTATCTAAAGTAGGGATCTGCATATCTCTAGCCGTTTTAAATTACAATTATTGGAAAATAGGACAAAAAGGAGGAACTTTAACTTATGACTATCCCATTGGCAGTATCAGGGCAAGTTTGGTCGTAGGAATTGATATGTAATTTTCCTTGTGGCACACACCATCGCCTACTTAATTCTCCTTACTAGTATTTAATGTGTTTTTTGTGTTGATTTTGTCTTCTAGATGGGGTTGATGAAAAGGCATCCTTCAATAGTACCATTCATGATCTACATTCAAAATGAGGACAAGCACATGGAGAGGTTTGCTGTACGTGCAAAATATATGACGTTGGACCCTGCAAAAAATAAGTATGTTAAATACCTGCGCAATATCAGATCAATTCAGGAGTATCTCTGCAATCGTGCTGATAAGCATCTTGTGCCAAAGATAAATAACACGAATGTTGACCGAAGTGTGGCAACAATTCATGCCACTGTCTTCAGCTGCCTACGGAGGCGAGAGGCAGGAGATCAGCTATATGATCCAGCCACAAACACAGTGCCTGTAATATATGAAGAGTATAGAAATCAGTGTGTTGCTAATTCAGTGGGTTCAAAAGGAATGTTTCAATTAATTCAGAGGTTGGGATCCTCAAGGAATTTAATGGCTGTACTTAATACAGATGGTTCTGTTGCTAAGGCTTGGCCAGTGAGGCCAGCAGATGGTGCCAACATGCCTATGTCAAGCAAAGCAGTGGGAAGCTGTGTGCAGAGTCCCATGTACGGTCCCTTACAAATTGGGAAAGCAGAACCAGTTAATCTCCAGTTTGGTAAGTTTGGTATCAGTGCTTGGCCTAGTGATACTGGTGGCAGCAGTCATAGTGGAAGCATGGATGACTACTGGGCTGATGGTAATGATAATGGTAGTAGATATTTTTCTTCGTCTTGCAGCTCACCAAGGATATCAGAAGGAACAACGAAAGAGGTAATCTTGCTTTATTACTTGCAATGAAATTTATAAATTTCCTAGAATATCACATAGCATCTTTCTTTGCTTGCTTCTGATGGTATTCCAAACATTTCCATCTCTTGAATGGTTAATGACTATGAGCTGTTAAAATGCTGGTTTGGTTTGCCTCGTATTTAATATGGTGGGTGCAATATTAGCACTTAACTTCTCTAGATAGAAACTGTTTGTCATCACTAGGATCCACACTGAGGCAAGCACCAGAGTGAACTATAGCTCTCAACATCTTCTCCCTATGTGATTTTGCAATTTGTGGGAAATTTATAATACCACATTTTCATTTGTATGTTTTGTTTTAGCTGTAATATTGATTTTTTTTTTCTTTTACACTCTTCTGATAAATATGTCAAAGCCACATCTAATGTTGTAATTTCTCTTCACCTCTATGACTTCCTAGCTCCTCATCTTTGCTTTATTTTATATGCTATGAATGATAAGCTGTCAGTGACGGATTCAAATTAATCTTTCAGTAATTATTAGGAACATCTAGTTCTATCCTTTCTGTATGATGGCAGTGATTATTTCTGTCTAAATGAGTCATTTTTCAGTTCGCTTTTGATAAGTTTGTTTATGATTTAGTTATATGTCCATTAAGCTGACTAGTCTTTGCCACTTTCAGCCTATGGAGGAATTGTCTGTATCTGGCAGCGAAGAAGAAGATGATGATCTACCTGAGGTTGACAGTGATGAGGATCCGAGTGATGCTAAGGAGGGAATAAATGAAGAGGTGAGGAATTCAGACACTGTAACATCATAATTATTGAAAATGCAGTAGAATACCTAAAATTTGTGTCAGGAGTTAAAGTGATGTGTGGCTAGTTTGTCTAAGATAGCATTATTTTATTTTCAAGGAAGAGCTCAAGGATAGCATCTCAGGTTATTTCACAAGATCCATTACTTACTCCCTTGGGGTTTGACTAGGTGTAGTGAAGCAATCGCAACCTTAGCTACTACTTCGGACTAGTGGAATAGTCTTTGAATCTGAATAATGTTAGAACAGCCAAGAAAAAAATGCTTCTGAAGATCTGGACCGACCACTTTAATTTGATTGCATAAGTCAGGTTCCACCTATATTAATAATAACTACAGAGTCCTTTTTATTTGATTTGTTTTTAAAATCTGCTATTTAAAATTTCAAACTTTTTGTTGACATATTAGTATTATTAGGGACTTATTTGTAAGATTTGTAGGGGCCTATATAAAGCCCAAGAGATATCATAATGAATTAGGGTTTTCATTTCTTCATGGTGAGAGACCGGAGAACAATGTGGAGAAATCCATTTCTGTATCGATTCCTTGGGAGGGCGAATTGGTTGAGGAGGAGTTGGTTGGTATCAGAGCCGGCTGCCTCCCCTCTTCTCTCCTAGCCGCCGCCCCCCTCCCGCCCACTTCACGGGCCCGCCACAGAACCCCCCAGGACCGCCCCACTTCGCTGACCTCTCCTCTCCTCTGCCCTGATTCCCGTAATCGAACCCCCTGACCCCCTGAACCCGCGATCGCCCTGACAGCGAGCCCCCCCCCGCTGTTGTTTTTTTTCGAATCCCAAACACCGCCCCCCCCTGTTTTTCCGAGTGCCCAACAGCCCCCCCCCCACTCAACCTTTGCGCGGAGAACTCGATCTCCCCCCTGAACCCCGAGCCCCCCCCCCTGTCAGCGAACCCCCCTGAAACCCTCCCCTGACCAGCGAAGCCCCCCCCCCTGTTTTTCAGATCCCAAGCCAGCCCCCCCTGTTTTGTTTTTTTTCCCGATCCCCAAACAGCCCCCCCCCCCCTGTTTTTCCGATCCCAAACAGCCCCCCCCCCCCTCAGACCTTTGCCGCCGCTTGCTGCGCTATGCTGGACCTCGAGTTTGGCATGGGTTCCCTTGACTCAGTCCTCGAACTGATGACAGGAAGAGTTTATATCTCACATCGATGAGATATATAACTGGTTTTGATTCTTGTTTCCTCTGAGATACGAGAATTTGTTTGAGCTCCTACTCTTGTTGTGCAGCAGAGGTGCTGCCGAAATTTTCACTGCACACAACAAGGGTTGGAAGAGTAGGTGACCAAATGTTAGTTCTGAAGCTTGTTCGATGGAGGAGATCATCAAGAAGTTGAACCCTATGGAGGTGTTAACTTTGATGAAGCTGATGAAGTTGTCGGTTGGTGAGAGCGCGACAAAATCATCGAAGAAGTTGGAGCTTCCGACCATCGATCTGAAGCTTGATGGACCGAGTACGTACCTGAGCTGGTCGCGACGGGTGAGATACACCCTTGCAGGGAGGAACCTGGAGGGTTACTTGACAGGAGAGGCGACAGAACCGGAGGAGGACTCGGAGGGAAGAGATGAGTGGAAGACCACTCATATGTTGGTGTACATCTGGCTTCTCAACTCGTTGGTCCCGACGATCGCCGCCACGGTAGATGGCATTGAGAAGGTGAAGGACGTCTGAGAGAAGTTAAGAAGGACGTATGATGGAGTAGGGAATAACCTGCGGGTATTCCAGATTAAAGGAGAGATCGACGTCACAGTCCAGGGTGAAAGGACTGTACAGGAATATGCTACAGAGTTGGAACGCCTGTGGCTGGATTATGATCATTTCTCTCCCCGGGCTAGCTGCAAGGACCCGGGATGTAAAGAGCGGGAGGCCTTTCTACAAGAGAGGACTATGGTGTTTCTTAAAGGATTGACATCAGAGTTCGCTCAGCGAATTGCATTGCTCCTAGCTCAGCCGAAGATTCCCACGCTTGAGGAGGCTATCTCTGCTATGATCCAGGAGGAGACTCGCATTCGGCTGCAGGCGGGGACAGGTGGACTTCCTGTGGTGAAGTCAGCACTGACAGCCTCTAGCAACACTGGATCTAGGAGAGAGACTCGACAGTGCTATAACTGCGGTGCGGTGGGTCATCTACGGCATGCTTGCACCAAGCCATCCAAGGATGGAGATTCGGGTGGACGTGGACAGTTCGGAGGTCGTGGTCGTGGCCGTGGGGGTCGACGTGGTGGAAGAGGAGCAGGGAATCGGGCAAATCTGACAGTAGCAGAAGAAGAAGAAGCTGAGGTGGTCTTTACAGAGGAGGATCGTGCTCTCCTCACGATACTCAGGAAAAAACAGCAAGTAGCAGGGGATGGAGATTTGAGGAATGGGACTGCGGAGGCATCTACTTCGTTCTTCGTCAGAGGCAACACTGCTACCTATGCTCATCCGAACAAAGGTACTGATGACATACATGCTCTTGCTTCTATGTCTCCCGACAGATCATCAGAGTGGATAGTCGACTCCGGTGCATCTCGCCATGTGACAGGTAATGCTAGTGAGTTCTCATCATATACTCACTTAGCATCGCCTGATAGTATTCAAACAGCTGATGGTACATTTCAGCCGGTGGTTGGTAAGGGTACAGTCGATTGTACTGGTTCTGTAACTTTATCCAATGTTTTGCATGCTCCTTCCTTTCCAGTCAATCTTTTGTCCATTAGTTCTATCATCCTCCAACTAAAATGCATCGTCTCTTTTGATATTCCCAAGGTAATCTTCCAGGAGAAGGGGACAGGGCGGAGACTTGGGACTGGCACATGGCGTAGTGGACTGTGGTATCTGGATCGTGAAGGGCTGGATTCAGCATTGGTGTCAGTCATAGAGGAAGCAGGAGTAGGATCTAAAATGAGTGCTGAAAATGAGTTAATGCTCCATCACCAGCGTTTGGGACACTCATCCTTTAGTGTTTTAGGTAGATTGTATCCTTCTTTATTTGAGAAAGCAAATAAACAAAAACTTGTGTGTGATGCATGTGAGTTTGGAAAGCTTACTAGAAGCTCTTATGTTAGTTCTGGTCATAGAAGTTCTCATGCATTTGACCTGGTACATTCAGATGTTTGGGGGCCTTGTTCCACAAGTTCTATGAATGGATACAAATATTTTGTTACATTTATTGATTGCTTCTCTCGTGTTACTTGGTTATACCTGATGAAGAATAAGAGTGATGTGTTTGGGTGCTTCCAAAATTTTCATAAGACTGTTCAGACTCAATACGGAGCAGTGGTGAAAGTATTGAGGTCAGATAATGGGACAGAGTATACCAACAGAGCCCTTGAAGAATATTTGTCAGCTCAAGGAATACATCACCAGACAACCTGTCCATACACACCAGCACAGAATGGGGTAGCGGAAAGGAAGAACAGACATCTTTTAGAGGTTGCTAGAAGCATGATGATCTCTATGAATGTCCCAGAGACATTATGGGGACAAGCAGTATTGACCGCAGCAGCGTTGATCAACAGAATGCCCTCGAGAGTGCTGGATTGGAAGTCTCCGTGTGAGATATTGAAAGGAGATAATGGTGGGATCCTTCCACTCAAAGTGTTTGGCTGTGTGTGTTTTGTGAAGGACAACAGGCCGTCTGTCGGGAAGCTTGCCCCTAGAGCTGTGAAGTGTATCTTTGTGGGATATTCTGCTACTCAGAAGGGATATGTTTGCTGGAGCCCGGTGGAAAAAAGGTTGTTTGTGAGCATGGATGTGCACTTTCGAGAACTCGAGTCATATTACACCCGGGAGGGCGAATTGGTTGAGGAGGAGTTGGTTGAGGAGGAGCCGGAGAATCACGAAGAAAAGGAACAAGAGACAAGAGGTGTTAGGCCCACTGTTCAGGGGGAGCTACTAACCTATAGTAGGAAGGGCAAACAAATTGGAGAAACAGTACCTACAGTGCCACTAGTGCTGCCAAGTCTCTTGCCAAAGCCCACCCCGACTCCTGAAATACCTACACCACCACCAATTTCATCCCAAGGTGATAACATTCCTACTGATAACATTCCTCTCCCTACTCCTCCCACACCAATATCAGTACGGAGGACTACTCGCAGTAATGCGGGACATCCTCCCGATAGATATGGTTGGGATCTTGCCCAGTATGTATCATATTCTAGTATCCACCCTGCATATGGAGCATTCATTGCATCATTGGACTCTGTTACTGTACCTAACAATTGGCAGGTTGCTAAGAAGGACCCAAAATGGAAAGCGGCTATGCACGAGGAGCTAGGAGCTCTAGAGAAGAACCGCACTTGGGAGCTAGTAAAGTTACCAGAAGGAAAGAGAGCAGTTGGATGCAAGTGGGTCTTCACTGTGAAGCAGAATCCAGATGGACAAGTTGAGCGCTACAAGGCTCGCCTGGTGGCAAAAGGGTATAGTCAGACATATGGCATCGATTATGATGAGACTTTTGCACCGGTGGCGAAGATGAGCACTGTTCGGACCTTAATCTCTCTGGCAGTAAATGGTGGATGGAAGCTACACCAACTAGATGTGAAGAATGCATTTCTTCATGGAGATCTAGTGGAGGAGGTATACATGGAGATACCACCAGGATTTGGTACAGATCAGACAGTGGGAAAGGTCTGCAGATTGAAGAAGTCTCTCTATGGTCTGAAGCAATCTCCCCGTGCTTGGTTCGACAGATTCAGAAGGGCTATGATTGGTATGGGATACCAACAGATCAACGCCGACCATACAGTGTTCTTTCGACGGAGTGGAGGCCACATTACTATGCTTGCGGTATATGTGGATGATATGATTATTACAGGGGATGATGAGAAGGAGATTGCCCAACTCAAAGTGAGACTGGGTAAGGAATTTGAGGTGAAAGATCTTGGCTTGCTTAGATACTTTCTTGGAATAGAGATAGCTCGAGGAGCGGAAGGGATCATCCTATCCCAGAGAAAGTATGCACTGGATCTTCTCAAAGAGACAGGAATGTTAGGGTGCAAACCTGCAACTACACCGATCGACCAGAGGTTCAAGCTAGGTGCTGAGGCTGGAGAACCAGTTGATCGTGACAGATATCAGAGGTTGGTGGGAAGGCTGATCTATTTGAGTCACACACGTCCTGATATCTCCTTTGCAGTAAGCGTGGTGAGTCGCTACATGCACGATCCGAGGAAGGGTCATATGGACGCTGTGTACCAGATTCTGAGATATTTAAAGAGTGCCCCCGGAAAGGGGCTGATATTCAGAAAGAATGGACATGTGAACATCGAGGGTTATTGCGACTCTGACTGGGCTAGCTGTGCTGATGACAGGAGGTCCACCTCAGGATATTGCATCTTTATAGGAGGTAACTTAGTCTCGTGGAAGAGCAAGAAGCAGTCAGTGGTGGCGAGATCGACAGCCGAGGCAGAGTATAGAGCTATGGCCTTAGGAGTTGCTGAGTTGCTATGGTTGAAGAGTATGCTGGTGGAGCTGAAGCTGGATCAAGGAGATAAGATGAAGTTATGGTGTGACAACAAGTCAGCTATAAGTATTGCCAACAACCCAGTGCAGCATGATAGAACCAAACACATCGAGATCGATAGGTTCTTCATCAAAGAGAAGTTGGATAGTGGACTACTGGAGCTAAGTCATGTTTCGACTAAGGACCAGGCAGCAGATTGTCTGACTAAAGGACTCAACTCAGTAGATATGATTAGAGGGTGTGACAAGATGGGCTTAATAGATATCTTTCGCCCATCTTGAGGAGGAGTGTTGACATATTAGTATTATTAGGGACTTATTTGTAAGATTTGTAGGGGCCTATATAAAGCCCAAGAGATATCATAATGAATTAGGGTTTTCATTTCTTCACTTTTCACTTAAAAACCTTACATAACCATGCCATAAAGAAAATTCATCCATGATGTACATGTGCGCATTTGATGGTGGGAAAATATCCTTTTAGTATAAAGAGGAGAGAGTTCTACGTGGCATAATGATGTTGTTTCCTATGTTGGTTAATTTAATGCCAGAAGTCTTCTGTGTGATCATTCAAGTGGAAACCTTTTCCTAGTTATATCAGGCAACCGTAATTACCTGCAACATGCTGTTAAATAATTTTTAATGCCTATAGAGTATCCTGAATAGTTCAGCTCTCTTTAATTCTCTCAGAGTGGTGCTAGTATTTATGTGCATATATTTCCATCCTTATTACAAGCATTGTGATATTCTCTTAACTTTAAGAACGTATTTGAGAAAAAAAACTTCTATAGCTCACTGCTCCTCTGGAAAGGGGTGGAAGTGAACGAATAATTAACAAATAGATCGGTTATTATTCGTCCAACTATTCGATTATCTTCGATTAGATAGCTCATTTAACAATAAATGGGTAACTTTTGTATTTAGTTCAAAATGAATAGAATTTTACCAAATGTATATTCAATTCACTTTATTATTAAATATTCATTTATGTTTTATATTTATTAAATAGTTTTTCCCCTAGAAACCACCTTGAAAATAGGGACATTCTATAGAAACCACATTTGATTTAAAATTTATACACAAACCACCGTTGAAAGGGTTTTTTTTTTTTGTTACAAGCAACTAGCTAGGCCCACTTTTTAATTAATTTTCTTTGTAATTGTTCCCATCTAACCTCGATTAGGTATCATCTCTCTAATATACTTGGTATTTGACAACTAACTATTATAGCTAAACCGAGAAAAGTTGACTTAAAGTGAATATAGATGGTTGATTGCAATAAAAAACCATCTCAAGGTGGTTTATGTATAAATTGAATCAGGGATGGTTTTCTATAGAATGACCCTATTTTAAAGGTGGTTTCTAGGGGAAAACCATTTCATTAAATGAATAAAAAACCCTTTCATTAAATGGTAGATTAAATATTTTTTAAAATTTTAATTAGTTTAAATTGAGGTATAAACAAGCTATTTAGAGGGGAAATCAACAATTATGATGCTTTGGAGGGTAGATTTACAAATGTATACAATTCGGAGAGATTATATGAGAAACTTTCCAAACAAAATTAAAGGATGAAACTCTGCCAGTCCTAAGGCTCGAACCAAGGTCCATTTGGTTTGGAATAAAAGCCCCTGGCTAAATGGGCTACTGAACTTAGAATTCGAATGCCATGATATTTGATTCTCTTGTTTTCCACCCCTACTCTGGATTATCATGCTGATTATTCATTTTATTCCAATGAATCATGAAGTGTGTCAACTGTCAGCTCTTTAAGTTATATAAGATTTTTTGCTTAATTTTTAATAATTTGGCCTCTTTATTAAATATATTGTTTGAACCTAATGTTTTTAACCTTTTGAGCTCCACATGCTTACATCTCTTTTACGGAAACAACTGGTTCAAATCTCTGTTACTGTATTCAAATCTCTGTTTAGTTTCTTGTAATAAAATATGCCAGGAATTTAAGTGAATGATTTGAATTTTTTTTAAATTATATATATATATATATATATACACCTCACTACCAAACACAAAATTTGTGCTTGGTACCGAGCATACCCATTTTTCTCTTATGAGAAAATTGGGTATGTTTGGTACCAAGCATAAATTTTGTGATTGGTAATGAGGTGTCCTATTCTCATCTACTCATTCCAATTCTCAACCACTCCCCAACCCATGTGAATGTGGGCTCTGATTTCAATGAGTGGAGGGGAATATGCCACCTCACTACCAAGCATACCTATCTCTCTCTCTCTCTCTCTCTATATATATATATGGTTATTGTGGAATCTCATATGTTCTTTAGCCATGTATGCAACAAGTATCGAATTGTTTTTTACATTTATTTAGCCACTCATAGATGTATACTGACTCATGAGTCATGACTAAGAATTCATTCGAAACTTACAGATTTAAAATTGCATCTTAAGTCTGCCTGAAGACATCTCCCTTTTCTGCACTCCTTTACTTGTAGAATAAAATTTTAGAAAAAGGAATGTAAATGCTTGGATTTGTTCGCTTTTATCAGATGGAAGGTTCTGTTGATGAAGAGTCGACCAAGTCCGATGAAGAGTATGAAGACCTGGCCATGCGAGATGGCCTAGAGAAATGAATACTGGTCTGATGATGCCAAGGGGCCTTATAACCTCAATAAACCAACAGTGGAGAAACCTGCATAAATCTAACCGTCAAAAAGCAGAGCACTGGTGATATGAGGGGGAAGTACCTTAAAATCTAGGTTTAGTGAGATGACGTAAACAAATTCAATTGAGGAGTTGTAGAGTGAGAAGACTGAAACTTGAGGGCCTCAGACAGTAGTGAGAGAATGATCTCTTCTTCATGGTTGTAAATGACTGAGCTATTGAAGTTGTTGGTAACTTTATTTTACCTCATTACTGTATCTTTTTTTTTTGGCGTTACTGTGGAGTGAATTCCATGATGTGGACCTGATTATATCCGATCGATGGTCAAGTGCGGGTATGAAAGTTATTACATGCTGATTGAGTCAGATGGATCGAGGTGATACGTATAACATTCTGTGTAATTGAACTTGTCTTTCTTGATATAGGTCAAAGGGAAATATAAGGATCAAATTTCAGACGAATGGCTTCAAAGTTCAAGCTTCTAAGGTCGTGCCCGCTTAAATTTCACGTGTGAAAATATCTTTTGCAATTTTCTGAAAGCCTACAGTTTTTTTTTTTTTTTCAATCATCAAGTTACCAATGTATTCACTACTACTGGTAAGCGGGGAAGAGTGAAGACTTGCTGACGTTGCTTTAAGTTGCAAACTAAAAATAAGGTTCTGAGCATCTTACTAATGTTAAACTGCTCTTTCATCTACATTTAGCTTCATGCTATTGGCAGCTCATTTGCTTGAACACTGACCGCGTTTATTATTATGGTTATTGGCACAGAAAGTACTCCGAAATTGACAATACTACTTTCTGAAATTAACAATACTGTAATAAGTGTCGTTCACCGGAAAAAGGGAAGTAGATGGGCGAAATGTCTGACGCTTTTCTCCGTGTTTTTATGCACTTTTCTCCGTGTTTTTATGCAATCCATAACCTAATCGATGACATTATGTTATGTATCCAGGCTATTTATTACGGTGAAGGGGGAAAACATGGTGCAAACTTCTTAAAAAAGACCAGCAAAAGAGTATAAACTAAAAGGGCTTCAAACAGGACTTTTCTATATGTAAGACATTTCCAAGTGAACTTCTTTTTAAAGCAACCGGACATGTTAACTGATGTATAAAATTTGACTGGCAGAGTTGCCTGTGTTTGCGCATGTGATTCTATCTGCTTCACAAAAGAGAGCCAAAACCACATTCAGCTCACGCATTTCAGCAACAAAAAAAAAAACTAATGAAAAGCATTCATTAGAACCAAGGCATGGGCAAAATTTTCTTAAATTAAGAGAGCGACGTAGCATTGTTCTAGCTTTTTAGCATTGCTCTAGCTTTTTTACAATTCGATCATCCGTTACACTTCATTACAGTTATTACAAGGTCGACAAACCCTTTGTGCACTTAGATGCTATCCATTTACACGCCTTGCTCCTAAATCTTATGCACTAGATATCCCTTCTTATGTCATTAATGCTGCTATTTTTACAAGTCTAATTATAACAAGGCTATACAAAACAAGAAAACACTGAAAACTTAATTCCGACAGGCCTTCACTTTATTTACATGCTAAGGCCATACTGGTCTCTCATTTCCCATTTATGCTGGAAAAAGAAAATCACAGCAGTCTGTGATAAAGCTATCCTCATTATATGTGCAAGGACTCGACCCATCTGTTATAGTTTGTCTCAGGGCGTATATGATTGCATCCCAATGCGCCTTTCTGCAAAATTTAAAAACATGAGTCAAGAGTCAAGAGAGGAAGAATGAGTATTTCTGGCTGAAATTCATTGACGAAGTTGGAGAGAAGAACAAGTACAGAACTAAGATGTTTACCTCCAGCAGTAACCAACTTTTCAACACGAGCTACAATATGTTTCCCATACGTATACTTCTTCAGGGCATTCAAGTGAACTTTGACCCGAGAGAGAATCAGTTCACGATTTTTATCATCACAAGTCTCAAGAACCTTTTGTACAACATAGTTCCCAAACTGATCCTTCATCATCGCCTGAAAATGCATTATACGCATGGCAACAGTAAGATTCTGAAGGTGATTACTTTTATCATGAATGCTTTTATAAACAGCAGCACCTCAAGCAAGCTGGGAGTTCATTTTCAGAGAATATCCTCTTGTGACAGAAACATACATCATTTCAGCAGTTGCAAAAATACAATGCATGCACTATAAATTCTAAAGCTGTATAGATCAAAAGTACAATGAACTCTCTTAATTAGACGACATCAACTAAATATGACAAACAAGTTATGAAGAATACTTGGGAAGAGAGGATATATAGGACATAGATCAAGCTCAGGAGATATAAGGAGAAATAAGGAAGAATCGAGGAATAGTCTGGATACATAGGAAAGAAGAATAACAGTAATCATAGAAACAGAGAATTGATCATAAGAGATAAAAGAATCCTAGAAAATGCAATCAATCCATCCCCAGTTAATTATGCCTCATCATATTCTACACACGAGTATTTGTATGGAACAAATGGATATGAAGTGGTGGCTCTGTTTGCCAAATGAGCTACCGAGAGAGAGCCATTGTAATGAGACCCACCTTGCTAGTCACATTGAAAGGTGTGACCCTCACAACTTTTATCTCTTGATAGCTAATTTTACTAAATAAGCCGCCACCTTATAACCATACACCCACACCCACTCCCCCAAGCACCCTCTCTTCCCCTGCGTCCAACATGGATAGAGATGCTCAGGTGGTAAGAACAACAAAACTATTATTATATCCTCCTTAATTGCTCCCTATCCCAGAATTTTGGGGCAGCTACATGAATCCTATTCTTCTATTCATTTTCATTAAGGGCTATCTCGTATGTTAAACTAACCACTATTATATCCTCCTTAATTCCCCCAGCCAAATTCTATTACGCCTCGTTTGGTACATGGGAATGAATTATAATGGAATGCTCATTCACACTTCTCATTAATGTGTACTAATACAATAATGAGAAATGAGCATTCTGTTCTCATATTTCACTCCAATACATTCCTTGCTTCATTCCATTTTCACTTGACCTAGACTCCCACGTACTCAACAAGATGTTAGAGCTATCTCTGGTGTCTTTTGCTCCATTAATGATAACCTTATCATACTTGCTGTATTTAATGATCTCTGCTGCAGATGGCCAACTAATTTGAACATGCTCATCTGCTGAAAATTCTGCAAACTACATATAGAGATTTGCAAAATACACGTCAAATATGCATCCAACATGATACGGATTACTGATAGAAGCATTTGCACCACATGGTATACATCACACAATAGAATAGCCCTCCATTTTCTTGGGTAGTAGGGAAAAGTTGTTGAGTCGAGGAGCAGTTCGGTCTATAGAATCCTTTGAAGGCAGCAATTAAAACCGCATCCTTTTACAACTTCCATCATTGTTTAAAGACTAGCTATCGAGTACTGACACGTCAGGCAAGTGTAGCCGGAAATACTATCCATTTCGAGGAGTTTTAATTCCAGAACCCTGAGCACAAGAGGCTTACAGGACAGGCCTAAGTAAGAACTCCCACTTCTCTTTGCTTTTGTTCTCCCGTAGTTGCTCTTCATGTAAAAGTAATAATCTAGATCAAAACAGCCAAAATTTCTTTACAACAATAACAGTTAAAATTTCTTCGCAACAATAATAGTTAGATTTTCTTTATGACAATAACAAATAAAATTACTTTACGACATAACATAAGCCAGAGCCTTGTCATATGGTTTAAAGAGATACAAGAGAATAGGGGTGTGCAATCGGTTGGCGGGGTTAGTTTTGGCCAAAATCGGCCAAAAACCGAAATCGCTCTGCCTAGATTCTGGAACCGAACCATACTGCTCACCTTCGGTTTAGTTCGAGTCGGTTTGATCGGGTTGGCTAAGTACATCTGTAACAGCTTCAAGCAGAGATCAAATATATTGGAGCAACTATTTATCAACATAAATGACATAGTTTCACAGTAAAATACTTTTTATTGAAGAGAATATGCAAAGATCCCCACAGTGCTCCAATCGAATCCATAAACTTCATCCATTCGAAGATGGAAACTGGAAAGGGGAAAAAGAAGCAAGAAGCGCCGACCAATGGAGAGGAAGAGTCAGAGATGAGAGATTTCCATTTCTTAAATCTCTCAATGGAAACTACTTAGGATTCCTGGATATTACAAAATCAGTTATGAAAGGAAACCCACATAAATTAAACGCGATTGAACGAAATTTAATTGGCGTTCTCCAGTTTGGACATTGGATGCAGGTTGTGCAATAACTAAAATCCAATACATCCTTCAAACTTCGGTGGTCCGGGCAGTTCTGGTTGAGATTTGCTCAGTCTACTGATCCGTAATCAATTTAGAACTGCACTGAACCGCCAAACACTGGGTAGTTTGGTTGGTTAACTCGGTTCGTACTGAATTGTGCTCATCCCTACAAGGGAACTTGGAGGATTTTGGAGCAAAGCGGGTTTCTGAATTGTGAACATGGATTGGAGTGATGGATTTTATCTTAAATATACCAAATTAATAAAGAAGGATATGAGATTGGGAAGAAAGATAAACTTAAGGGAGAAAGGGGGAAAAAAGAATAACTGGAGATAATTTAGGTAGAAAAGGAAAGGAAGAATATATAGGAAAAAGAAACATAGGAAGGAGACAAGTGGAGATTGAAGAGGAGGTCCTCACTCCTCAGAAAGGGAAGAAGGAACATCAGAATCAATTTGAAACAATCAATTATCAGAAGCTTAAAACCGTTCAACATATGTAACCAAAAATAACCAAACATATAGCAAAATAACAGACACTCTACTAATATTAGGTTACTATCAGAAGTACAGATAGGAAAAATTTTAGGGTTTTTTGTATATATACCCCATAAATCATCAAAATTTACTTGAAAAAAAACCCAAATCACCATCATTGGAAAAAGACAATCCCCATATCAAGCAGCATCAATTATCGAACAGATACAGATAAGGGTAGTTCTACCCTTTCTCAAATAAGCCAACCAGATAAAAACTAAATGTCCGATAATAAACATCCTTTTGATACAGGGGTATTTTCCAACGTTAATGATTTGAGGGGGCATTTTGCAAATATTGATGATTTAAGGATATATACAAAAAATCCATTTAAGTGAAGATAATGTACCACTTCAAATTTTATTTTGATTTATTACTGGGTTAAAATAATTTATAATTCTCCTCTAATTTGAAACCTATATAGAATGTGTATTAGAATCTATAGATGAATCTTCTTTTCACCAATATTACTAACATAATTAGTTGTCATCCAACTTTGGGGGGCAAAATGTTGAAGAAAGAACCATCATGATATCTGCTACGAAAACTATAAAACTTTGTGTTTTGTTTTGTTTGTTTTCTTTTCTTTTCTTTCTTTCTTTTTTTTTTGGGG